TATTGTTAAATCCATGAAATGTATAGGTTAATGATATTTACTGAGAATATTACTTTTCTATTGTTGATCACTGAATCTTGGATTTTAATTGAGAAACATGTGTAGCATAGTAATTTTTTACCGGTCTATGGAATTACGACAAGCACGAAACCAGGATTCAGACGTTTATTATTTCATTTGTTGATAACCGACATCCTTAATGTGAAGATTCAAATGAAAAATAAATACATATACGTTAAGTAATTGATATTATTATCCTATTTTTATAATCTACTGGCCTAAATCACAAGACTGCACACATCTTTTGTTGGACCAACTGATCAACCATAATAAGTTAATAACATAAACTATTCTGACACAAAATATGTGCTGGTCACGAAAGCTTTACAACAATAAAATTAGTCATTTTCATGCAATACATGTGTCTATCAAATAATTAACTGAATAAGAATGAGCTGATGACACAAACCGGACTTCTCTCTCTCTCTCTCTCACAATCTAATCATAGTTCAGTTGATTAGTTCACAGTAACGATAGTTCTGAATCGATCATTCAATTCAAACTCATTCGGTAATGATAACCATAACCGGGGCAAGGGAGGACTCGTATCGACAACTTTCAGGTCAGTGGCTCATTGAGCACGAGATTTAACTGTTGATCGATATCCAATTGAGAGTATATATATAAATATATAATTATTACAGTATCCACACTAATTTACAGGGTTGATCAGAGAGACGGAGGCTTGATATTTAGAGACCATAAAATACAACTGTTCACGAATTTTTTTGATTTAACGTAGATAATGAATATTTAATATTGATGTAATTGTAAAATGGTATAATTTTCTTCACTATGCCAATTATTATTATTATTATTATTAATGATACTAATAATAGTAATGGTAATGGTTATTAATAATAGTACTCATAATCATATAAAATATTTTTATCCAAAGAAATGTCAGTATTTTTCCTCTAATCTAAATGAAACATCACATTTAGTAAACGGGGGAAAAACAAATCCATAATACTGCTTGTCATTACTATAATAATAATAATAATAATAATAATAATAATAATAATAATAATAATAATAATAATAATATATTAAGTATTATTATTATTGTCTAAGAAGTATACCGAATGAAATTAATTTTCTGTCATGGTATATTTTAATACTTATAATCTGTATCCGTTACAAACTCAAAGTAAATGCATATATTGTCATCATTCTATAGGATTAGAAATATTATTCATAGACAAAGACAATGCATCGATAATTGAATGAATATTTTCTTGAAATTTTACATTTCATTATCAAATTAACTGTAAGTTTACCAAATCTAATGAACATTATATTCAATGAATAAAAGAAAAAAAACGGAACGTCTTTTCTTTTTTATTTAAATGAATGAGTAAAGGAACCGATAATTTATCAAGTTTAATGGATATCATAGAAACAATGGTCTAGTTGGAGAAAACATTGTCTTGTTTTTCTTTCTGTTCTGCAGAAAGATCAATAATAGATATTTTTCTAAAGAATATTTAAATTTGAAAGGGGGTTTGTTTTGTTTTTTTTGTTGTTTAAAGCATTAGAGTTTATATCTAATGACATAAGATTATAAATGGAGGGAAAATAAAATTGACATTTTGTAATCGGGTTTATAAGAAAATTCGGCATATTTCTAGTTTAATTAAAATATAATAAGATGTGATTAAACTAGAATTTGGATACTTTGATTAGTATTTTAGAAACATGTCGTTTAATTAAAGATTTTTAGTTACCTTAGTAATCAATAGTGTATTACATATTTGTATAATATTCAAGATTTCCGGGCATTTATCATTTATTTACTTTTTTAGGGGGGCATAGAAGAGTATAATTGTCATTGAAGATTTCATCTCATGCATTTGAAGTTATCCATATCTGTCTGTTATGAAGTTGTCAGTGTAGAGCATGAAATCTCCAATAAACTTATATTTATATGTGGCACATATCCATTAAATGGATGGATAAGTGCTAAATACTGAACACTTATTGAACATAGAAAACGTATAGATAACCTCACATATTCATGGTTAATTTCTTTATTCAAAATCACATTCTAATTATTATTTTTGATACCATACTGAGAAATGGTAAAAGGTTTTTCATAGTCAAGATGGGTTCAGAAGACACACTGAACTTGACAGTCACCTTTATTATAGATTGTTTTGTCGAAACTATGTTATTGATATTCAAAGCCGAATTTTAGCTATTCAATTTTGGTGTACTTAGATCCTGAATACTGTCAACGGACTGATACGAAGTCTTACATATGGTGTGAACGTTATCCTCGTTGAGCAAGTTGTTAATTTTTTCAACTCCATTATCATTTGCTCATCAACAGGTATAGATAATTGTACTTGGGTTAGAGTTTTACTTTAAATGTGAGGGGTAGCTATACTATCCGATTACACAAACCAAAGTAGGTGGTGTGGTTTGCACCTACGACTTTACGGTTGGAAGTCAAACACAATAACCACTAAGAAACTTCCAAGAAGCTTCGAATAAGAACTAAGTTCGAATCCAAGTGTAGATATCCATACTGGGATGAAGGTACATCCGGATAACAAGTCTCCGATAAATAGAAACACTTCAACAAGCAAGGCAGTTATTGTTTTGAATAGTTCACCTTTAACACATTAATCTGTATCATTTATATGGCACTTTGGGTATTTATTCAGAGTAAAAAATGTTGGTCAGTTATAAACATGAAAATAGAATATCATGGACTAAAATCGACTGATGGACTACCAGAAACTTACTTACGCCTGCTACCCCTTGTGGAGGAGCATAGGCCGACCATCAGTATTCTTCATCTAACTATATCATGAGCAATCCTTCCCAGTTGTTTCCAGTTGCTATTCATCCTTTTCATGTTTACTGCCAATTCTTGACGCAGTGTGTTTTTTGGCCTTTCTCCTTTCCGTTTTTCTTCAGAATTATAAGTTAGCACTTGCTTTATGGTGCAGTCTGATGATTTCCTCAATGTATGTCAAATCCATTTCCACTGTATTTTCCTAATTTCCTATTCAGTTCGAAGCTGATTTGTTCTCTCCCATACTAGCTTGTTGCTAATTATGTCCTGTCTATCAATCTGGAGTATCTTGTGTAGATAACTCTTCATAAATGCCTGTACTTATTGATGATGTTTGTGGTAGTTCTCAAAGTTTCAGCCCCGTACAATAGAACTGGCTTGACGTTCATATTAAAGATTCTGACTTTTATATCGGTTGACAGTTGTTTCGAGTTCCATATATTCTTCAGTTGTAGGAACGCTGTCCTTGCTTTGCTAATCCATGCCCTCACATTTGCATCAGATCCTCCTTGTTTATTTATGATGATCCCCACGTATATAAAACTTTACAACACACACAAGAACCTAGCACATTTGAGCATCGATTCAAGTTGCCTTACTATATCAATACAGAAAGATGAAACTATCAAGACAAATGTTATAGTAGAATTAGTTACAGTATCATTGATAGTAGGAAACATTAGGAATAGACAACGTGATTTGATGAGAAATAGTAAATTCGCTGAATAAATTGTATAAGATCAGTTTAAAAAAGACAAAGGGTGAATTTATGTGTGATGCTGTGACCTATTCGGAATCATTTATTAATTATTTATTCATTTGAACACATAAACGTTAAAAATGAAGAATACTTGAGCGAACAATTGTTTTCAATAACTACATCATCAGGCTCTACAGTTATAAGTCCATAATTATGATATTTTACAAAGGCCAAAAATAAGGCATGTATTAATGAATTTGGCAATGTTATGTGCTAAAAATGGTGAACGTTTGCATCTGTTACGATATATATACTTCAAAATTGTATTAAACATTGTATAAACATTAGTACATGGAGGCACTAAATACATACGCGCCACAATTCGTCATTCCATTTGTATGAGGATTGAATGCTGCCCGGGAGCCCAAACCGAAGCAGGTGGTTTCCTTTGGAGGCCACACCCCGAGCCTCTGACTAAGAGGTCTGATCCATAAGGTAGTGCGACAACGCTAGGAGACGCAGTCCCACGGTAGTCGGTGGCCAACAATAGGTTCATACACCATTTGTCCCTTCAGGACCCAGGAGCCCGTGTGCACCATGCGTTTGGAATCAGTGTTTTCCAGTTTTCCTAGATGTATCCTCCATATCCACCAACCCGGTTAAAACGACGAACATTCGCTGTCCGTCCTCTCAGTTTCGTAAACAACAGTAATGCTGAGAGAATGCATTGACTAGGACTTCACTGGCAGTGTTTGTATGTACGTGGCCATATGAGAGCATTTAGAGAGGGAGAACTGACTCTCTCCACTCTCGGCCGTACCATGGCATTTGAAGAAATTATTTCACTTGCACTCTTGAATTGTTAGTTACAATAATCGTGTGGACAATGATCAGGTAGCCTGTAACTACCAACATGGTTCAGTCCATTCGTTAGTGACTTCATAAATAACTTGGTTACTAAATTATGTAAAAATCATTTTTAGAAAATATCTATTTCAAATAATTACTATTAGAATAAGTATTTGATTTCAAACACCTTATAAACTATTCAATGATACATTTTATTAAAATATAGTAAATATATTTGGTAAAATAGAGATTAGGGTTTTGTAGATATTATAGTAATTTAACAGTTGAATTCATGAGTCAATTAAAGCTAGACCACCATGGAAAATCTGGATGCCAGCTCATTGGTCTAGAGGTTAAGCGTTCGTACGCGAAACCGATAAATCCTCGATTCGAATATCGTTGATATGCACTGTTGAAGAGTCCCATACTAGGACGAAACGACCATCCGGTGCTTCCAGGTTTTCCATGGTGGTCTATCTTCAATTGACTCATGATCTCAACTACTGAAATATTATTGTTAGTTGTTTATCTCTTCAACTATTCAAAAGAGAAATCGATACTTTTTTTTAAATATATAGGAAATTTTTTTTATAAATTAAATTTTGTACATACATTCCTTGTTAAATGTACCTTTAAATGATCACTACGTTTAAAACGTTTCAAACAAACATTACAACGAAAATTACGTTCACCAGTATGTGCACGTCTATGACGTGATAATTGATCAGCACGTGTAAATCTTGCACTACAACCAGGTTGATTACATAAATGTGGTTTAGCACCAGTATGTAAATGATAATGTTCATTTAAATGAGATCTTTTATAATATGCTTTTGTACAATTTGGATAAGTACATTTATAACGTTTTATACGTGTAATAGATGAATTTTCATTTATTATATAATTAGATTCTAATGTATTTTTATTTGATTGAAATAATATATTATTCTGATTAGTTGTATTATAGGTAGTCAATGTTGATGAATAATTAGAATGAAGAAAAGAATTCAAATATAAAGTTTGTTGATAATGATTTGTTGTTAATAAGTAACGTAGAATACATTGAGTAGCTACTCTAAGGTATATTAATGTTGGATCCGAAATATTATTACTATTATTATTATTATTGCTATGATTATTATTAACTAACCAATCATTAATCCAATTTTGTATCTGGGGGTTTTGACGTTGTTGTTGTAATAAATTAACATTTAAATCCATAGGAAATAAACAAGAGATTAAATTTGAATAAAATTGACTATTACGTAATACAGTATTATGATTTAATTGTGAATTGACATTTAACAAAGAATCCATAATAAATGAGTTTGAGCATAAAATATCCATTCGATTATTATTTATCATATAATTCAATACATAATCAAGTAAATCCCTTCTATACAATAAATTTGTATGAAGAATATCATTTTGATTTGGAATTGTAGGATTTAACGATCCAGTGGTATTCATCTTATACAATATAGAACATTTAAAGATATATATATTTAGAATTAAGTCTTCCTAATAGCTGAAGTATTTTCTTTGACCTTGAATACATTCGATAAGTTAATTATGTGGTCATTTTACATTCTCATCTTTTAGTATAGCTAATAATGAAGAAAATACTTGGGGGTGGTGTATCCTTATTAACTTTACACTTGACAGTTATTGAAAATATAATTTTAACACAAATAACCTATTCGCTATTTCTCACCCACTATTAATAAAATCCACTCTTCTGATTGGTTGATTCTAGGTCAATATATCTATATATAAGATCGAATATGTCTACTTTATTTCTAATTCAAAGGGATGATGGTACTATTTTCACTTGTATTCTAGCCACAGAATAAAATGGCTTTTATCTAGGGGAGGGGGAGGGGAACCATCAAAACAAAACATCCCATTAAAATTGAAACTATTGGTTACTTTTATAATTGAGGAGATAATTTTGATTGAACACAAATATGTTGGATAGGAAATGATAATATATTGTTTTGTGTTTAGGAATTTTGCATTTCGAAAAGAACAACGAAATATAGCCTAATTTGACAATTTCAGGTGGGTTTTTGTGGAGATTGTAGTAATTTCAATGGTTAAGATCATGAGTCAGTTGAAGCTAGACCACCATGGAAAACCTGGAAGTTACACATTAACACCGTTGGATTCCGGCTCAGTGGTCTAGTAGTTAAGTGCTCTGGCGCGAGACCAGTAGGTCCTGGTTCGAATCTCGCAGGGGGCGAGGTCGTGGATGCGCGCTGCTGAGGAGTCCCACAATGGGACGAAACGGCCGTCCAGTGCTCCCAGGTTTTCCATGGTGGTCTAGCTACAACTGACTCATGATAATTTGACAATTATTTGTGTATTTAGTTCCGTATGTATGTCTATACACATATTTGTAATAGAGGTTGACATTAAGCCCACGGCAATAAAGATTCCCTACCACCCGTTTCTTAGAAATTGTCGTGTGTAAAAAAAATTTATTGATCGGTGATTGGTGTACTTGTTTTGCGAGTGTGTACTGAAGTGAAAATGAACAAAAATTTTGTCACCTTTAATAATTTTGTAATTGGTCGTAAACTGTTCATCTTTGTAATCTGATTAGTTGAAATCGAAATAGCATCAAGTACTTTGATTGAATGTCAGAATTTTGATTTTTACATTTGAAATTTAATGATAATGAATAATTCTTTTTGTGTAATCTTAGTCTTGTAAGAAATTTAGACATTTTAAGAAAAAAAAACACCAACTTAAGTGCAATCCTACTGTTAGTGAATATGTATTGGCATAAATTTTTTGTTTTCCGATCAAGTGATTTAATGTCAACCTTCAATTGAAGTTGTTAGTTATGTTGCCACGAATACTTATATGTATCACATTAAAAGAAAGTTTATTGAAAAAGGAACTGAAAATCGGTTTGAATATTTGGTAAAAGTTATTACTGAATTCGGTCGGTTGTCTAATGCTGAATACCCAATTAATAAACAAATTATTACCGAAGTGTGTACATAAGTTTTTTAGTAACACATGGTCTGTTAATCGGAGAAACAAATCAACATATCAATAATTCATCATGATAAATTACTGATTGCAATATGTATAATTCAGGTGAAGCAACTGTAGACCATCATTTAATGAACGGACTTTGACAGTCTATGAAAGAAGTAATAAATTTTCCGAAATAGGCACTTAATATTCAGTAAACTTTTATTTTGTAAATGGTCATTCATAATGAGAATTAGAAAACGTTAGATTTCAGTGCGGTTAATTTTAAAATCCATTGAAACGGTTTATTGTTTTCACTTGTAAATTATTTGCAGTTCTGCATTTTAAAATTGATTTTTTGGTCGCAATAAAAACTAGTGTGTTTATTCAGTCATGTGTGAATATTGTTAACCGTAATATGAAACCTGCAATGTCTAGACATTACGAATGTAACCATTTTTGACAAGCATTTGAAATATCAGTTTGATGAAGTGTAAATGAACAAGTCTACGTCGTCTGACTGACTCAACAAATATCTATCGACATTAAACGTATAAATATGAATAAGGTCAACTGTATCAATGAACATTTACAATGTTATTATTATTTATTGTCCTTATGATCATTATTATTATTATCTCAATTGACAAGATTCAATTCTCGTACTATGTATTTCATTGACACAAAATTTTTTGCATTTTAAATTTTCCTATAATACTCAGTCACTTATTGTGACTGAACACTTTACTGCAAATAATCCAGACCATTATTGAATGACCTTTCTAATTTGCAAATATTACAATTTCTAAGTATATATATATATATGTCGTAACAGATGTAAACGTTCACCATTGTTAACACATTACATTGTCAAATTCATTAATGCCATGCCATATTTTTGGTCTTTATAAAATATTAAAATTATGGACTTATAACTGTATAGTGTGATTGTACCAGTAATTAATAGTTATATAGGTGTGCAATAGAGGTATTCAAATGATTCAGTCTAATAAGATAGCAAAATATTACTTTGATATTTAGTATACTTACTATGTGGTTAGTAGTTTAGTCCAGAATTCGCACTTCATCCTGTTGGGATTTTGTCAGCTAGATGTACCTTCTACATCCCATTGTTGATATTAATACTAAAGCTCGAATCTAATATCTTTCACTCAAACCACAACTCGTTTTCCATAAATCTGTCGATTTTAGCTCCCCATTAACTTGTATAGGGGTTATGAAGTTATTAGTAAGGATTTTAAATCTCGTTATTGATATTAAAGCCTTCAATCAACCCGTCTTTCTTTGCATATGTACATACTGATCAGATTGGTACAGTATTTCCTTCCACTCTTTTTTCAAAACAAGTGTGAAAAATTGAATGAAATATACATCCGAGATTCCACTTCTGGCTAAAATCCAACTTTACTAAACACATAGGATAAAAGGTTACTGAAACCGTAATCGAATTAAAAGGTGTTAAATCTACTGAAGCATCTAACCACACGACAGAGCTACTCACAGTAACCAGAGTTCATCAAAACGATTTTATCTAGAGAGCAGTACTATTACTGTAAAAATATATCCAAAACAGTTGCTGTTATAAAGGGAGGAATATTGTAAAAGTCGGAACTGGTTTTTTGGAAGTATTTTTAATTATAATTTTGTTGGACGATTATTAAGACACTAGATTACGATATATATATATATATATATATATATACTGTTGTATGGTTTACTAATCTTAATATGTTGCTAACTTATTATCACAGCCACTTTAGCTTGATGATGCATAATTGTTCTTTTTTCGTTTCATGGTGTGATATGGTCTGGTTTGTTTGTGTGTAAATAAAATCTCTTTGAAATACAAATATGGTCGAGGTTGGTTTCTGACTTCTGGACTCAACAGGTCACAGAGAGAGGAGACAGAAAATTATGGACCAGGAAGGATTCGGCAGTTGACTCAAGGTTACTAGTACTGGTTGGACTTGTTATTAGTCAACTCAGATATACTAGGTCATAAAAATCGGGATTCTGATTGGATGGTTCGTCATGCGATATTGGCCAGTAGTCGTAAGACAATAATTGTAAACTCCAACTTGTGAGGCATATGAGTCGTTTAACTTACCAATGTATATGAAATGAAAACTGCTTCGTGGAATAATTACATAAAGTCTGTTTCCAACATACGACAGCGTAAATAAAAACGAACATCTGTGTGTAGTCAACAATCGAAACGGGAGCTAAGCGCACAAAATACAGTGGCTGTTACGCGTGAATAAAGATTCAGCTACAATGTAGGACCAGGGACATATGTGCATCGGTTCAAGTCGCCATACCTTATTAGCACAAGATAAACACCAAATTCATAGAAGTAATTACTTCAATGATTGTAATATGCAAAAGAAAGATTGTGTATAAGGATATAGTACAGGAAGAAAGAATTAGCTGGTAGAAGGAAAGGTACAAATTAATTTTATTCTCATAGTTTAAGGGAAGACAGAAAGTTTATACACCTACGCCATTTTGATCGATTCTGAGCCATGTTATCAAGAGTATCCAACCATTGGTTACGATTGTCACGCGGACCCCAACCAAGTAGTCTGTATCTACCAACATGAATCAGACTAGAAGTTGGTAACTTCAAGCACTGATGCCGCGTTTTGGTTTGGCTGCCCCTAACTTTCTTCTAGCTGTTTCCAACACCAGTCAACATTGCACGTCGTGGTAATCGGTGTTCAGGCATACGTAAGACGTGGCCCAACCATCGCAGTCGATGAGGATTCATAACCTCATCAACTGGTTTACCACCATTCCCTAATATCCTGTGTCTAACCTCACTATTACTTACCCGATGATACTAGCAGATGCGAGCAACATTTCCATGACATCTGTGACTAGATATCAGTAACTTGCGAGTATCTTCTACTCTTAATGACCATGTTTCGCAGCCGTAAAGTAGAACAGAACGAACTGCTGCGCGATATACTCATCCCTTATTTGATATACGGATATCTCGCCTTCGCCATACGTGATGTTAGTTGGCAAAATCCAGGCGAACTTTTCGAATCCGTACAGAAATTTCGTTAGACGCCAACCTATTAGGGCTGATCAAACTTCCAAGACAAGTGAGAAACAGTCGTAAATATTACCAGGTTACAATTACATTTAAGAAGTATACAGAATGCTACAAATTTGTGCAAATGCTTAGAGGTGATGCACAGCAACTGAACATGATTCTCTACATTTCCAAAATGTTAGAGAATTAGCTACTGAATATTATTAAGTAGCATAGTTTAACACTCAAAGAATTATCGAATAGGAAGGTAAGTTCACTAGACAGGATTAACGTAGGATAACGCCAAGGAAAGGACATTCTTCTTTGAGTGAGCATCCCTGTCTGGTGAAGTTCAGCCATGTCGAGCGTGAGGTACTTTTATTCAATGGAGGTGGAAGATGAGAGCATAATATAGTATGTTGGTTGAAGTTGGACAAGCACATCATCGGTTGCTCGCTCAGTGGTTGAACGGTTACCGTAAGACATTCATATCCTGGGTTCAACACCGACAGAGCATATGATAAACTCTGTTTTAGAGGCACATGTTACAACGAAGCAGCCTTATAGTGGTTTCGGTTTTTAGTGGTTGTATAGCTTAGGTCAATTTGTGATGTAAAATGTGAAACTCAACAATTCCCCATAGCGCTCATCACGCTTAGCTTATGCCTTTACTTCAAGATGGTTACAATCAAGTTTATTCACCCACAATGACACAGTTATCGATCTTCCTTGCCTTGATGACTTCAGCTTTAGGAGTATGTGAGCACCACATGCTTTTCAACAACCTCAATTATAGTTATATATTTCTCGCTCCTCTTCAGAGCGATAAAAAATAGCCAAATTTTTCAGTATTACACAACCCTTTACATAGATTTTCGACTTTTAAACTCCTATTTTTGTGCCATTCTTAATCCTCCTGTTATGTCCCGATAAGCATGATGAATGGTAACTTTTAGGATCCATTTATGGACGAATACTAAATATATATTTTTATCGTATAATTGTTAAATAACTAAACTATGCATATTCATATTCTTCTTATCATAAGCTTTATCTTGACTTATGAACTATTATTATACGTTTCACCATTCTTGAATTATGCCCTGTCTATTAATCACTACCTCCCTCATTCACAGCCACTTTTGGCCAAATCTTGTACAAATGTTATTTTCTATTTTATGGTATGTTGTGGTCTGTTTGGTTAGTATATAAACCCCGTATGCTTGAAATAAATGATTCATATTACAGAGGCTGAGATTGGTGTTCTGGAGTTAACTGGCTGGGCTAGGCGGAAAGCAGGAACAAGCAGGACTCTAGACTGCTCATACGGGTTTACTCATCATTGATCCGATCGATAAATCACTACTCTCTAATTGGCGGTATCGTTACGTTATACATTAACAGGGCACTCAGGCCACAAGTTATAACACCTCCACTTCTACACTATTTAAGAATTCCACCTATAGGTATATAACTAATTGTCTAGGTAATTTACTGCAATACTTTCATGATTACTAAAATTCACTAAGAAAATTTTACATAAAGAAACTAAAAAACAACACGATTTGTATATAAATTATGTAAATATGTTATCGTTACACTGATGGATAAAACTAGTATTACATTAATAAGGAATAAAAGAGGACAGACACGGAAGAAAAATGAAATACCCAACTAGTATGTTAAGAAAGATAATAAAATAACTATGCAAACAATAGATAAACTATCATGTGGACAGATTGAGTCACACTCAACAATCTCCCACCACTCACAGTGCATCCATGTGGACATGACAGTCAGTCTGGCACTCGTTCTGTAGCCACAACTCCACAGACGAACTCACCACTGAAACACACAAACAACTGCGTGTAGACAGCGTGCACTCAACCATCTGCTTGTCCAAACCCCCATCAACATCAATGTTCGGTCTCCATCTACTCAACTCTCCCAATTCCACTTGTCTCACTGAACCACTTCCATACTGCCACGAATACTGACCACACTAAAACAATTCATTCACATACACAAATCACGCACACTCGCATCCATTCAACACGTCAACAACAATCAATCAATAAACCAACAAACCAACCAACTAACTAGCCATACAACACCAAACCACATCATCAAAACTACATCGCGACCATCGATCGAGACATGAGTGTTTCACTGTATTCCGTCACACCACCCAATTCACTCACTCATTTGATCAATTCAATAACACACCTTTTCCTATCCGACCAGACCATCACGATGGTGATGACGATGACGTTGATGATGATGATGACGACGACGAGTGAATGCCTCTTGTAAATAGCACGATCATCAACTTCTAGGATGTTGTCGCATCGAGTCAGAATGATCATTCGAGTTCGTTGGTCAAGGCATCTTGATGAATGTGAGTGGACCGATCCACTTATGAATCGGTGGGTGGACTCAGACCATTCCAGAACTCCTCATGACACGAACGAATCACATCGGAGTGACACATCACTGAATATGACGCTGCAATGACACATTGAGTGTTGACCAACATCAGCTACCTATACACAGTACAGGTGACCAGTCATGCGGATCGACATGTCCAAGTGGAGTGAGACGCACTGCTCCCAACTGGTTCGGTGTACATGTGTTCAACTGACCAGATATGTGTCCCAATGTGTGAATGTGTCGACCATTGGTTGGTGTTTGTGTGCATGCGTGCGTGTTGGGGTGTTTGATGTTAGAATGTTGTGTAGTGTGTGATGCATTGTAATGGTTTGAAGTGAGGACGAGTTGGCCAGCTCAGTCGGTAGAGCATGAGACTCTTAATCTCAGGGTCGTGGGTTTGAGCCACACGCCAGTCGTCGTCCGGTGAGGCAGCACATGGCGTCTGGTAGTTGCCGACTACTGGACAACTTACATCCTACTCTCTAGCCCCACCCACTCACCACTTCATCATCCACCACCTCAATGCTATACAGTGCACATGCCGTTCTCATGAAACAACTGTGCATACAATACATAGAACTTAGATCGATTTGGTGACGTGTTTGTTCATCTGGCTTTTTTTGTTGGATCGTCTACTTTATGAAATGTTTTTCCCCCAGAAATTTACCCCATTTCGAAATACGTTGTTCTCAATTTTATGGAATTTATTAACTAAAGTGTATAGATTTTTGTTGTTTTTAAACGGGCAAGTTTGAGTATTTTAATAATACTAATAAGTCATAATATTTCTATACACTATATTTTCTGAAATCATAAACTAACATAGAAGGCAACGTTTCACTGAATAAACATTTAGAAATTAATATGTAAGCAAGAATTTAAAGAGTGAATGGTTGAGACTGAATTTTGTTTGTAGAAAAGAAGTAATATACAACAAATTTATGGTTTATTAGCTTCATATAAAACTAAGGACATTTCATTAAAAGAACAAATGATGAAAGGCAATGATTAGAGAGAAAAATATTTTGTTTTTTTCTATAAGAAAAGAAAACGGGGAGCAATAAGTAATTCATTATAGTTTGCATTAAAACTAGTTTAAAATACAAAACCGAAATGTTCCTATACTATAACTAAATAATATATTTTCACTGTTAGTTAAATGTTGTGTGCGATTGTAAAGGAAAAAAGACATTTGACAAGTATATATCTATGTTCTAGAGAAGAGATTAGTCAATGTGTCCTAATAACAAACAACCATAAATTCAACTAAGATTCTATGAAAATTAACATTAATTTGATTTTGACAAATTTAAATCTGATTCTTTAAACAATGGATCTGTCACCCAGAGACGATCTAATCCAATTGAATTAGATAAACCATCATTTGGAATATCTACAGATGCTGTATCAGGACTAACTGCATTTGGTGATGATTCCGATCCACGAACTAAATCTAAACGTCGTAGTATTTGTAAAGATCTATTTGCATCAAATGATAAGTCGAATAATGGACCAGAGCCACCATTGAATCGTGAATTAAGAGAATCACCTGTGATTGGTGCACCAATTGAAGATGGTAATGAAATATGAGATTGAGGTGATAAGTGTTTAGCAATCCAAGATTCAGCGCGAAAACCCAACTGTACAGGAGTTAAGGCAGTATTGCCTAGAGAGAGGTAGATAATAAAACTTTAAACGATATATATATAACAAAATACTAAAAAATAGACAGTATAAATAATTTATGATCTGGTTCGAAGTTTACATATGGAGTTTATTTTCCACACTTCATACTAAGGGTAGTGAGATAAAAATCAGTCATATGATCGAAAATATCAAGATCACTAATAATGTATTGTAAAATAAGAAACTGAAATATATATAAGGGGCAGTGCTACATTATGAATTAGGAGCTCACAGAACATAATACCACCAAAAGTACACCACTCAACATTTGGAAACTTTACCATTTCACGCACCTCATAATATCATACGTAACTTATATGAATGCAAACAATTACTGAAATCTAAATTAACTCACTTGCCAAACACTCGGGTATGAGTTACACCTTAAGTGTGAGAAGGACTAATGTTACTAAACAGTTGACCAAAATTGGAGGTAGAGAAGAGTTTGAATCTCAGACTTAACCACAAAGCTATCACTCCACATAGAATTCTGGGTTGATTTGCTCTGAATAATCACATTAAACAGTTGCAAATAGACTGACTTTTGTAGCCAATTAAGTCAGTGAATGTCCGAAAACGAAGACATTAGTTAATAATCAAGTTATTCAATTCAGTAATTGGATTGATAAAACATGGATCAATGGATTCTGGATCCGTTATGTAGCGGTAAAAAGCATGATCCTCAAGTTCGATCATTTTGTATTTCTTAAAAAGAAACTAACCACAACTAAGGCAGTTCTCCAGTGTGCTTTTCATCATTTTAACACTTTTTTGCACAGTCTTGAAAACCATTTTGCAATTGAACAGAATTACTTGTCGTCGGCTAGAGATTTCCTACTACTGACCTCCTCTGCCTCCCTGACATTATTTACTAAGTAACTAATTAAACATGGGCGGAGGGACGAGGGTATATTAAAAACAAGTTTTCATTTCAGTTATCTGTTATGTCTTTTACACGAATCGTCTATTTAGTGGAATTTTACAATTGGGAAAATAAATGGACTCATGTTATCAGAGTTCCTTTTCAGTTAGAAGGAAAGAGAATTCAGCTACAATCTATGAATTTAATGAACTAATTCAGTGTTAGTGTATTGTCGCGCGATCAACTCATTATTCGGTGAGATTATAACTTATAGACAACCTGTGAGTGATAATAAAGTGGCTTTGAGAAACTTCAACCAATTACTAAGGCCGAAAAGGGATATAAATTAACGTGAGGAATCGAGATAAAGACTTAAGGTTAGAAGTTGGGGTTAGTAATTAGAGTTAGGGTTTCCACCACAAACTAACATCAACAGTAATGTCAAAATGCTATTTTAAAATATAGTTATATGAATTTTGAGCGAAAACCCTAGAATTGCTACCTTAAATGTGATTGATCCACTCAAAAATTATAGTGCTGCCCATTGTTAACATAAAGTAGGATTTTAAAGAATAGATCTTTGAAATAGAAAACAAAACCCTATGCGAAGATCATGTATTAGTCATTATCAACATAAAGCCAAGCACAGATGCGAGTTGGTTCAAACTGTAATACCACATTAGCACAACAAGATGAAGTATGTAATAGATCGAAATAATGCAGTACCAATGATAATGAAAACAGTGAACCTTGAGAAAGTGGTTTGAAAAGACAAAGTGGAAACGTATGCCTGAATAAGTCCTGAACTTCAAGATCGAGAAGAATATAAAGGGTGAATACACCTACGCCACTACGAACGATTCTTAATCATGTCATCTGATGTCTCAAATCACTGATCGCGTTTATTACGCGAACCGCATCCAGGTAGTGCGCATCTACCAACATGGCTTAGACCAACAGTTAACGACTTCATGGATTGGTGAGGTGCCTTTGTTTGACCAACTTTAATTCCATTTTAACATCTTGGAGTAAGTCACTAGTAGACTGACTATTATAATTTAGTTTAAAAGAATTTATGGAGATTGGTTTAATTTATAGATTGTATTTGTTTAGTGAGAAGTCGTGGGTGTTATAACAGAACACGTATTCAAATAGTCGAACTTTTATAACTGTCCTCCTAGCTGAAGTTATTGTTTATATTTCTGTCGTGTAATTAATAAAAATCCTTAAATTATTGTATTTTAGTATTATCCAGGTTGTAAATTTTCTCGTGATGCATAAACTGTTATATACCGTATCTTCCCAAAGTTACCGTTAATTAATTACGGACCCATTATCTAGTTTTCTTCCTCCACTTATGAACTAGTAATCCCCTTATTGTAATTTCTTAATTATGTTGATGTGTGGTCAAGATTTCATTCTACATAACTGTATGAGTTTTGAGTCATGATTGAGTATAATATAAAGTTAACAACTGACTTTCCTTTTGACTCAAGGCAAACGACAAGGAAAGGCTTGAGTGTAGCAGACCAGTATGAACTTAGTTTGGGTAGGCTAAGGGTTAACGGTGTAATTCAGACGTATAATTGGTCACATCTACGACACTAGGCTACAAAAGAAATAGTAGAAGCGGAACAGAAAAATGTGTAATTATAATTCCGATTAATGACTTTAACGTGAGATACCAAGCAGTGTGCTCAAGCAATAACAGTGACTAATGGAGTTCACTACGAAATTGAATGGTCTTTAAAACGATCTTTGACAGGGTGGTGGATACCTGATGCTAAGGGATTTCATATCAGGATGAGATGGTTGACTAATGCTCCTTAGTTTTCAGTAGTACCCCAAATGAAATCAAACTACGAGTTTACATATAAGTTTAATCAGATGATTATGCTGTCTGTTGTCTCGAATGACGATCGAGGTGTTTACCAATCAATGGAAATCATCCACTGTATTGGTATAAGACATCTAACAGTGAAACTGATATAAAAATGAGAAAAACACCGGAATATTTTGTTTACTACTTACTGTCAGTAGGTCTTAACAATAAAGCATACGTAAGTAAAGCTGCTTTAAATTCTTGTTCATGCGCCAGTTTCAACAAAGTATTGATTGATTGTAGTCCAGAACTTTGACAACAAAGATATTGCTACACAATAATAATAATGATAATAATAATAATAATAATAATAATAATAATAATAATAATGGTAGGATAATTGACACAAAGTAATAATTTCTTAATAAAATGTAAAAGCCACTCATGATTTCTACTGGTACATTACCAGAGGATATTAAAATTGCACGTTAGGTGGCTAGAAATAGTTAACAGGAAGCATTAAACATACGTTTCGTGCTAGCTAACACTCGTCAGTAGTCTTGAGGGGACTGACGTTTCTTGGTGAATTTGGACCTGAGTCAGTAATGAGTTCCGCAGTCTGAGAGGTTACCACCGACTTATTCAGACCGAGACTGACCTCTTCCCATAGGACTGAGATGAAATGATGTTTCCAGAAGGTTAATTTTAGTAGTGAATATACAAGAAGATAGCAAAAGTTTAGTTAGCTGGAATATATAAGTTTGATTTATCGATCCCATACACTTTTATGTGACCTTTGCGATATATCAATAAAGAGAATGAAAGTAATTAAAAATAATCTTTATTTTAAGCCTGAAGCTCAATGAATTTAGTCAATTGACTATTGTTTTCCTGGTAACTTTGATGAGTTAAGTAAAATGTTATAAAAAGCTATAACAGTTTTACATATGTAAACTTTATTGAGTAAACCATTTCATTATATACTATGTATACTATGTATATACTATGAAAATGTGAATTTACAATATTCTTTTAAGACTGTGAAACCAATTAATTAATAAAAAACACATATTCTTAAATACTCATCGATGGTAGTAGGTTTTTTTGACGTTACTGATTTATCTTGGTGAAGTTCCCGGGAAATTTGTTGACATAATAAGAGTAGGAAACGATAAACTTTGATTTGACAGATACTTTAGACAATACTATTTGTCTATTATTATTTCTAAGGATTGAAATGTTTCCAGTTATGAATATTTTTGCATTGAATGTGATCCATATCTGTTGGCATATATCCATTCTGAGTGAATCGAATTGATATGGCTGTTTGGTCACAACGTATTTAGAATAGATAGATTGTAGCTAGCAGTAGAACCAATGACGCAAGTTTCGTACTATTTTGAGTTCGCAGTTGGATGTTTGCCTTCTAGTGTTGATGTTTACAATGAGACTCGAACGTGGTACCTGCAGCCCCAAATACGTACACATTAACCAGTAGGCTAATGAGTTTGGACAGCCATTAAACGTGTCTATCCTGTAAATTTGTAACAAATAAGCCATAAATTAAGGCATTTACTTAGGCTATACACACACCAACCAACATCGGTCAAATTTCACTCTTGAACATCAACCCTTGCGGAGTTGTTGTACCGATTGGACAAGTTAATAGTTATCTGAATTCAGTAGATTAGCGATTAACGCATTGTAGGTGTATAAGGCGACAACACTGGTATGTGATAAATACATCGAAATAAGGAGTCTCAAATAAGAAGGAAGCTCTCCAATTTTATTCTAAATTTGGTAAAGCAATACTATACTATCGAACTAGTTTGATAGCGCCTTTCAGATGCTTGCACGAAATTCAAAACGGAGTCAAAGGTAACTTGCATCTCATTAAAATGACCATATGAAGTTCTTAATATGCCTAAAACTGATTGAAAAATATCCATTTTAGAGTCTCAATGTGATATGGTGTATAAGCTAAATAAAAAAGGAAACTGTTCCGGAAAGAGATTATTCCCGAAACGCTAATTACTCATGATTCAGGGTATATTCAAGGGTATTAGCGTTATCAGAAGTATTCGTTCACGTTAACTATAATCTATAATCCTAATCCTCCAAACTTTAATCCCGAAATTAAAATTATGACACCAACTCCTAATCCAAAGTTGCGATTAAGATTCTAGCCTTGACTCCTAATTTCCAACCTTAACCTTTTTTTCTTTAATCATATTAATAAATTCAGCATGTACCGGTTAATTATTCATTCCAAAACTGTTTACTGATTGTAATTTTATCAACTATTCCCACTGTAATTTCTGAGTAAACACTAAGTTTTTGATTAACTGACAAATGGCTCAAGGTCGTCAGTATAGTATAATTTTACTATAAATTTTAAATATTCGATGGTCAACAAACTGATATAGAGGGTCAATAAAAAATCATCTGATGACGAGGAATGGCTTTATTTTGCAAGGAATAAAATATTAACCACTGGTAAGCTTGATTTCTTGAAGGATAGACAAGTATATTGTTGGGGAGATCTAGAATATTCCTCTAAAAAGAGACCCAAAGGGGCCGTGAAAACGCTAGTAAGCATTTTTATCCAATCAGCAATGAATCGGAGTTTCTTAGAAACATATAGAGAGTGAAGAGTCACGCGTCACATTTCTGACTGGATGATTACCTATCCTGCTACTATGTTTGGTAGGGTTCCAGAATCTTCCGGAAGCCCAAGACCATCTGAAATACTGTAAATAATATTGATTTTCTATACATAAACTAACCTTGGAGTAAAGCGATTTTTTCCAAATTTCGCGCATTTTCTCTCGTGTTAAGGTTGTCGAGTAGATTTAGCTTGGGCGTTATAGACGAGCTCAAGAAACCAATTCAAGCGTTCAGTTAGCAGATTTATCTCATAAACATATCAATGAGCGCAAATAGACATGAATTGGTTTAACCTAATAAACTTTCTTAATCTTTTTCTCTCTCTCGAGTAACCGGAGTTGTATACAGAAATAGTGAGTATCACAGTATCAACTCGCTAACATTACAAAACTAACAATTAATATAATTAAAATTTTATTTTTATGTAAACATTTAAAATAACAACTTACCATATACTTTAAGTTATTAGCTAAATTAGTTTGTGCACGCCAATAACGAACCCATACAATGGATAGTGTAGTAATAGCACAAGAAGTTGCAGCCATAGACCAAGCTAATACTAAATCATAATTATTTGAATTAAATAACCAAGCGATAGGACTAATTACACCTAAACAACATACAGCTGTAGTTGTACTTAATAAAATAGCTGAACGTGAACTTTTACTCAATGGAATTGTACGTAAATTTGGTAAAAGATATAAGAGATTATCAGCAAAAGTTGAATTACGTACAATACCTGTAACAGGTACATTCTAAGAGAGGAGGGGGAAAGAAAAACAAAACAAAACATTTTTTTGAAAAGAAAACAGACTTTATGAATGGGATGACGAATAGATTTTATTAATACAACTGTAAAGAAAGTTGTTAAAAGCCGTTGTATTCTCGTTGGAGGTGCTATGTCTGGGTGTGTGTCACTCAATTCTGATGTGTCCGATGCCTTACTGTTTATACTTGACAAGCATGAACTACTGCAATTTCTCGATCCTACTGTATATACTTTTAGATCAGAACTACTACTGCAATTTCCACGACGCGAAGTGAAAACACAAAGACTGGTACAAATGAAGATTTCAGTAGTTTAAAAAGCCCAACAGAATATTCAAAAATAAGGAATATTTGAGCGAACAAATGTCTCTAACAGCTTCGCCATCAGGCTCTACAGTCATAAGTCCATAATTATTGTACTATTTTACAAAGGTTTATGGTGATCCAGTCGCGGACCAAGGTAAACATAGAGGCTGAACATACCTCTTTTAGAGACATAGGTTAAGTTTTCTGAAGTTGATTCAGATGGCTTCATCTATGTAGAAGAGTCATAATTTAACTCTTTTAGGTGGATTTGTTTGGAACTTGATACAAAACTGAGAAAATGTAATCTATTTTAATACGATATTCACTATCTGCTAAGTATAGAGCTGTTAGTAGGTTTTGTGATCCCTTTTCCCAACCATGGCGGCGAATTTCCACGCAAACATAAAGCCCTCTGAAAACGGCATATGTGACATGTAACATTGTTTAGTTCGCTACAATACCTTATTTCGGTCTTTGTAAAATAACACTATAATAACATTATATAGAGCTTGACAGTGAAATTATTGAAAATGAAGATTTATTGACCTTCCAAAAACATTTTCATAAACAAGTCCAAAACCATATCGCCTTTAGACTAAAATATGATCATTTATATGTTTATTTTTACACACAATAATACCTTAAATACAGGAAAATACATAAAGTTACTGTAAAAACACACTATAGTTCATCTAGTAGTGCTGTGTTCCCTGAGTTAAACGAATTAATTAAGTAGGAGCTTCCATTGTCATTCTGAACAAAATAATCGGGGTTTACTTTATGTAAAAGTGAACTTCTCCATAAGTGTTATATCATTCGTTCAGATGACCTTGTTTGTGGATGACTGTTTTCATATGTACCCTTATTCTGATGAGGAACATTTAATTGAAACATTTTGTGGGGTTGATTTGAAATCAACCTTTCGGTAGTCTTGTATAAGTTCCCCAGGGGCATGTACTGAGGCCTTAGTCACGTCAAAACTAAAATCTCTTTTATATGGTCAAAAAACAGCTTGTTCTCCCCTTGGATCTACCCTAATAATATTGATTTATTATTATCAAGAGTAGTGCAGTTCATGTTGCTGTTTATTATCTTAGTATTTTCTTATCTCCCGATTTGTCCAGTTTGAAATCTCTCTATCTTAACAAGCAAATGTACAGTTAGATTATTCAAAATGCATAACATCGGTATATATGTCACATGAGTTCTAGTAAACTTAATCTCCCAAAAATGACAGATGATAATTGTGTTTTGTCCATTGTCTTAACATCCCTCACTACATAGTTATTACAATAGTGATGTTACCTAGGACGATAATTAAAGCTTTGCATCCACAATTAGGCGTTTGCTGGAGGTCCTGAGTCTGATCTTCGACAAGATTTTGACTGAATACTGTCGAAAAGTTACAAACTAGGACGAAACAAATGTTCAATGCTTCTTATCTTCAGTGGTATCCTTAAATGAGACTAGTTACCTTTCACATGACGTTGAGATAATATATAAGGGTTGGTCAAACCAGAAGTCCATCTTTATATGAACAAATTATACTAAAGTGGAACTTGTCTACGGTCTTCAAAACAATCGTTAATTAGATACTAACCAAGGAACAGGGTATTTTGATGTTCTTCCAAAATTTTTATCTTAAAAATGATATATCCAGTAAAAGTGACCTGTCAATGATTGAAGACAGATATATTGAGTTATATTAAATGAGAGTGACTACTTTATACTGTAAACTGCATTTCACTTATTGATTGGTTTGTAATTTATTTCAATGAACTATCTTAGTTGTGATATCGGTTTCGTGTTTGAACGATCGGATTTAAGTGACTTGATCACAATAATTTACGTTATAACGAAGGGATTCATAAATATTAATGTAAACACTTACAACATTTAATTGAATGACACAACAGACTGAAAAAAGATACTTCACATCTTACTTACTTCGAACAGTTTCAAGTCTAAATTATGACTATTTTTTCTTCGAACACACATTAATACTCGACTGAAATAAAATCCATCCGATTTAGTAGTGAATGAATCCACTGATTCATAACCATGTATATTTGGAGAATAACTACGTTTTATTGATCGTTCCAATATATTAAACAGTTGAGAAACTCGTATGAATACTTTTTTAAATGTGCTTTGTTTACGTTCATAGTGGATCGATATGGAATCAGTCAAATTGGAAATAGTAGAACAAGCTGGAGTAGCATTAAAATTTGGATGAAATCCACGAATCCAAAAACGAAGTACATCATAATCGTCCGGATCGACATAAGCCTTAAGTTATTGGCAAAGAAAATAAAAACGACAGAAAAACTGGCATATTGGGTCCGCCGGGAATCGGTCAAATAATAAATGCACGTGACTGGATAAGAAACAACGTGCATTTCTAAGGGATGAGATATACAGCACTGATGGCTTGATTTTTAGGATAACAAAAGCACTGGAAGAATGATGGATTAGTAAAGGACAACTCAAGGAAGATGTACAAATGGCTATTAATTTTTGATGATAGACCGACAGTAAGTGAAAAAAGGAAACTAAGAAGTACAGAACAACCATTTCTCACTAATTTAGGATTCATGGAAAATAGTGCAATATATACTACTACGATACAGGGATAAACGCTTTTCATGATACAACACATCCGATTCAATTATTTTTAATGATATTGGTGTATAGTAGACAACTGGTTTCAAGAGCTTTCACATTTAGGACATAATTTCCTTTTTCAGAAATAAAAACAAAAAAGTTATGAGGGGTTTAGAATTTGATGGGAGACAAGTAATGGATGCATTTGGACCATTGAAAACGATTTAGAGCCGTGTCAAAGTATCTAACACCGGTTACGATAACTATGCGGACCTCAACCAGGTGGTCTATACCTATTAACATGGCAAAGTCCAATTGTTAGTGACTTCATGGTTCGATGCCATGTTTTGGTCAACCCTAGCTTCCTTCCAGTCTATTCGTACGCCAGAAAACATAGCCCATCGAGGAAGGTGGTGGTTAAGGATACATAACAGATATCTCAACCACCTCAGTTAGTGGAGATTTACTACCTTATCAATCGATTTACCATCTTTGCCTAGTACTGTGTTCCTAACCCTAGTATTGCTAATTCCGTGGTTCCAAAATATACAAGCAATGCTTCGTAGACACCTATGATCGAATATTAGTAACCTACGAATATCATCTATTCTTAATCGTCATTTTCTACATCCACAAAGTAGGACAGAGAAAACTAATGTACAGTAAACTCCACCTTTGGTCGGAAGAAGGATATCTCGCCTACTCCAATAAGTGGCGCAAGTTAGCAAAAGCCAATTGAACCTTCTCAATCCGTGTAGAGATTTCGTCAAACACCAGACCACCAGTACTGATGAGACTCGGTAGGATACGGGAATATTGAGAAATACTAATATTTCTCCAACCCGATCGTAGTTATTACCTAGACGTGGTGGTCGGGCTTGTATATCGTGATAACCAAATCAAGGTAAATTGACTGGAATACTTGTCCTGTTAGGTTCTACCATAAAGGTCGGTTGGAAAACAGTTGGATTAAAAGTAGCAATCTAAGGTCCGAGTAAAACGTCGTACTGCTAACTGTACCAGGGTATCCTTCAGATAACCAGAATCTGTGGTGATACTGCTTCACTACAGCGGAAGAAGGTCGGTCCTAATAATAATATACATTAACTTGCTCCATGGGTTTCTATCACTGATGACGGTCCGAAAAATATGAGGATAACATATCAAGGACTATTTATAAGGAAGTAGTATGTGACGGCACTTAATTAGCTGTTGATAAGTCTTTTAACCAAGCGCATCTAATAACCCCAGGCTACATTTACACGGGAACTTGAACATGAGGGGAAAGGCGCAAAGACTGGTGATAAGGATTTGACTCACAAAATAAATCGAATTGATTTAAGAATTATTATATCCCGGAGAGAATTATGAATGGTAACTTTTGAGAACTATTTTAGGACTAATATTACACGTATATTCTTAATGTATAAGTATTCAGTAGCTGGATTGTGTACATCTATACTCCTCTTATTACAAACTTTATTGTGACCTATAAACTATTATTATACGATTTACCGTTCTTGAGTTATGCCCAGTCTATTAATTTCAGTCTTCCACATTCACAACTACTTTTGGCTAGATCTTGTGCAAATGTTATTTTCTGTTTTATGGTACGATGTAGTTTGTTTGGTTTGTATATAGACCCAATATGTCTGAAGTAAATGATTCATATCACAGAGGCTAAGATTGGTGTTCTGGACTCAACGGGCAGGGCTAGGCAGGAAGAAGGACCGGTAAGGACTCTAAACTGCTCTTAAGGGTTTAAGCGCCATTGGTCCGGTCGATAAGTCACTGTTCTCTAATTGGCGGTATCATTACGTTACATATTGACAGGGGCACAGGGCCACAAGTTATAACAAAAATACACCACATTTTATATGATTTACTTAGTTAATTTAACAGTCAAATTTGTATAAACTGAACTGAGTTGTGTTTAACAATAATAATTCAATAACCTACTGTGTGAACACAGTGTTATACAATTAAGTACCTTTAATCCTTCTTATGATGTGAATGCATGTCACACATGATTGGAGAAAAAAAATCAATTTTATATGTCATCTTCATTCCAATTGATTAAGCTATTACTCGCCATACCAGTTGTCCCTTGGGTTCTGGGGTCATGCTTGCAAGTTGCCAAGACCACTACTAAACGATTTCCCACATAGGTACCTTAGGAAGAAGTGTTTTTCCAGGATGCAGGTGACCAGGAAGTGACAACTACTGACACACTGCTATCATCACTTGAAATCACGTGGTTCACAGTTAAGTCGTTTCGTTAATTAATAATAATAATAATAAGTATGAGGGATCATTCATTACATATCGTCAAATACTATTTGTTGGATAAACCATATGAGTAGTTCTCATTTATTTATTTAAACACACAAATATTAGTACAAGGATAAATATAAATGCATCACACTTTGTCATTCGACCTGCATGAGGACTGGGATATTGTCCGGGTGCCCAAACCGAAGCAGATCCGGGATTAAATGTAATAAGTGAGGTACAGTAACAAATCTCTAAGTCGGAACTAACAAATATACGAACTCTACAACTTCCTTTCAGGTCACAATAATTCAAGCCGTCAATGATGGGTATGATGACGTAATACTGAAGTATTTGAGACGTTTCGGTTTACAATTGAAGGTGTATCACGAGACGCTAAGAGTTCACAGCAGAAATACTGAAACATTATCAGGCTAAAAGTGTAAACTATTTCAGATAAATGAGCAACAACAAAGAGCATTAGCGGTAACGAATTTCCGATGATTAATTCTGATAAACTTTATCTAGAAAATTAAAGATTATAAGTTCAATCCCTTTAAAAACCAATAATTCCAACTGATAACAGACTTTAATCTAATAACAAAATCAATGTTTAAAATTCCTTGGAATTTAGTAATATTTTCACCAATATAAACTTATTTATTTCATGATTTTTCTCCAGAGATGTTTATAACCGATAAGTAGAAGTAATAATTATTTAAAGTTAACATACATCATATAAGAGAGTAATGAAGATGAATAAAACAACAGTAGCATGTATGAAGGAATTATAGAACGTTGAAGTGGATGAATGTTTGTATGCTATGAAAGGGGAAAGTTCCATAAAATTTTTAAGAAATACAAGTTTCTAGAGAATGGAAATGAAAATTGATATTAAAAGTTACTGAACAACAAGCGTAAAAGCGAATAAATTAATAGAGTAAAATGAGTAAAGCTCAAGAAAATCACTAAAGAATAGATGAAAGGGAGCTTATAATTGAGAACATGGAATAATATACTACTTAAGAATAATGAAAAGCAGAAGTTACCATAATAGTGAGAGATTAACAACTGTATCCTTTCGAATACAGTTTCAGTTTCAACCTTCTAATAGCGATGAGCTTGGTGAAACAGAAAAATCTAAGTTCCTCAAGTACTGATTGTTTTGAATGACCTTGGGGTATTAATACTGTCCACTATCAAGCGGATAACATGGAATTACACTGTCAGAAACAGGTTGGTCTTATAATCTCATTTGTTGCAGAATGTGCTCGGAGATACGAATAAGTATTCCCCTTTCTGTTCTCCCAATGTAAGTAGTTTGGCCCGGACAAGTAAACCGGTAGATACAATTGAGGTAACATGTGACGAGAATTTGTCCACTTTTGTTTGTCTCAATGAGCAGTTTACCTGATAAAACGAGACTAGCTTGGCGACTGGATACTTCTTTTTCACTGTAGCACTTAGTTTAGAATTAATTATACTGACTATTTCATCACATTTGAAGCTAATACGTAAAAGAATGGCTTTTTCTCGACCGCGGCACGTTCCATTCACTTTTTGTTATCCCATACTTACTGAACTTTTGTGGGTAATCATTATCTAGCAAATACTTTTCGGATAATTAAAATAAACCTTAGTATCATTGAGTAAGAAAACGAGAATTCAGAGAGGAGAATTTTCTTTTCGACGGAATCATTTATTTAAGCTGTACTCTAATCAGTTATTATTATTACTTTATACAAGTTTTCTCGATTATTATTCAGTTTATTACTATAACCTTTATGTTTGTCATTTTTCCTCATATCTGTCAATTGGACTATTATCTGACCCATAAATTATTTTATTCCTTACCCCTTGATTAGTACGTAACCTCATTGTTATTTAGTCTCGAATCAATTTGTGATGTAATCTTTTCTATATTTTCCATATAACTATATATATGAATGTACAGCTTAGGTAAAAGGTACTTTTCAATCATAACTAACTATTCCCTAATCTTATCTTTTGAACATATTTTCAGTACACGGTTGAGTAGTGTTTTGACCAAAGCTTCTTTGTGACTTATTAGACAGAAGCTAATGAAATCCAACTAAAGTCCACTGCGTATCTTTTCGCCAAATACAAAGCTTTATTTAGCCATCTGAATTGTGCTGGATACCAATATCAAGGAACTGAGATTTATCACTATGCCCGTGTCCCATTGTAAATCGTATTTCAGGGTACCCTTAATTGAGAAAATTCAGTAAAAATTAGTTCCAAAGATGAAATTCTTATCACTATTTGGCAACTGTTTGGGAAATATTGAGAAAAAAGTGTATGGGTTACAAAATGTATGCTGGTGTGTAGTTGACTTTCTAAGTTTTTTTGGCAATTAGGGGTGTTTTAGGTATCAAAAAGTCAATATACAAAAAAACTCACTATTAAACCATGATGTTTTGATTTGATTGAGTTGCACGCTTTTTGTAATTGTTGTTGAGGTATTTCAATAAAGCCAGCTATAGGAGCAATATCTGCTAACCGACGAAGAAGCCAGAATTCTCGGTCAAGTTCATTCGCATTATTAGCTGTATCAACAGAAGACGAACTGGTCCCTTCTGAATTATTTGAAACATCAAGAGGATGTGATAGAACCTTTTCGAGTGAGCAAAGATAATAATAGTAATAATAATAACGTGATATAAGTATTTTTAATGAAAAACTATTTAGGATCGTGTTTTGTGCTTTCCAAGTGACATGCAAACAGAATGAAAGTTGTCACATTGCATTTTGGTAAACTGACATAGGATAGTTTTTATTACCATGAGCAGTGGTGAGTTGAGTGATTTTAGTAGTGTATCAGCAGTTGTCACTTTCCATTCGCCTACACTATGGAACGATATTTTTTCTTGTGACTCCTGTAAAGGAAATTGGACTAGTAGTTGTCTTGGAGACTTGAGAGCGTGACCGCAGAACCCGAGAGACACTTGTTTGTGACTAAACACATGGTTGATAATGGGGTTAGTGAGACCATAAATGTTTATCGAAGTAGTTGGAAAATACATTAAACATGCATAGCCACCTCGTACTCCACCGCAAAATGATGAGTGGCACAGGAGTAGGTTTGGACAAAATCAAGGATCGGCAGATTGAAACACCAGCTTATGAAGTGATAGACTGTTGGTCTGGACAGTGTCAAAAGGTAGAAACGATCCGGTTCGAACTCGCAGTATAATCGAAACCTAGGGTTGAATGTCCTAGGTGGCATTTCAAAGTCAGTAACAGTAGCCACTAGTTTTTACTGAATTGCTAATTTTAGTGGGTGACTACATAGTCACAGATGCTTGTAGGAAGTAGGGTGGCATGGAACAACCACAGCCCTATTGTAACAATATGGATGTAGTGTGTCTGAATGCTAAGTTAATGAGTATCTGGTTGTGGAGTCAATTTAAAACCTACTTAAACGAACTCCCGCGAGTTAACCGATCTATTGTGATAACTAAGATGATCTGATTTCAATTTCGCCATCTAAATTAAACCTATTTACGACATTAGGAAGGCATCTACAGCAATACGTCTCCCAATAACTTGAAAGTTGTGAATCAGGATTTAAGCAAATTAGTAGCCTACTTTTCAGATGTGCCCGAGGGTTTTGAAAAATATGGAAGCTAAGTGAGATTCCAACGGAGTAAACACTGATGTTTATTGTTTTGATTTAAGCGAGATAAATTTACACAGACAGTGAATTCCTTTTTACCAGACGGGTTGAAGTGTGGAAGAATTTTTTTTACTGATTTAAAATACAGTAAGTCAACCATAAAGTAACGACTTTGGAAATGAAACAATTGTAACCAATCCAGAGGCAGAAAATGCGATTCGATTTCAATGCTTATAATCTTAAAAAACTACTACAGTTTTAATCTATTTTTCACTCAAAGCGACATCCAGACAACTCAGAATATACTGCTATGTAAAAACCCATGTGAAATATCGCCATAGAGTATAGATTTCTCCAAATAGGATTTATAGAATACGAATTCGTAAAGCAATACAAAGCTAGCAACACATGAGTCAACTACACTGTTATATGTAAACATTAAAACTAATGTGAGGAAGAATCTAACGAACTGGATAAAAGGACCCGAACTAGTTGTTTGTTTTCACACTCACCAGGCGGAGTAGATTGAAATCTAAAGATTAGATACAACTTACCGAAAATTCACTCTGAAGAATTTGAAACTGACTTTCAAGCTTTCTATCAAGAAAGACAGCTATTTTCTCGAAGCTTTTTCTTTCGAATGGTAATACTGTACTACTATCCTGTAAAAGTTCTCGAACAAGCGCCCTACGAGTGAGTGGTATATAGGCATTTCTATTGAGGAAATATTTGCACGCTAAAAACAAAGTACTTTAATGCAAACTGCGCTGTCGCTGGAGGATTTCGAATAGAGTCCAAAGATTCGACTACCTTTGATTTCCTGAATACACTGAAGATTGTAGATTTCGGGAAAAGCGGTATGGAGGAAGGCCTAATTTTTCTTTTCAAGTAAGAATAAGAAGTTCTTAAGATATCTTTCATTGTCCATTTACATGTGAAATAGTAGCGTAAGCATCAAAACCCGCGGTGAACTAATCCCATATCTTTGTTGCTAGCTTCTTGTTTATAATTTATTTGAACTTCTCCCGTTGCAACAGTAAAGATTGAAAGAACGATTTTAGTTATGAATCAAAATCAGTAGTTGTTCAACCCTTTTAAGGAGTAAGACTTCCAAAACTCAATCAGTAATACATATTATAAGGTGTGTCCACGTTCCAACCTGATTTATTCAACATATATCTTTCTAGTAGACCCACTGAGACTGTTGTTAAGACTGAATCATGGCAGTTTTGGAGGGGTTTCAGCCACACATGTCATACCATAGGTTGCTTCTGAGTCTTATGTTGTAGATGACATAGGTCTTGTGTTTACTAACGTTCAGTGTAATACTTAAAGTTGAGACCACGAAGTGATCTTATAGCTCATCTTTGGATACGCCTCAAAGTATTCATACAATCTGAGCTGAAAGATAAAACAAGATATTTTCATGCTCGAAGTTTAACCGATTAAGACTCAAAAGTTAGTTGAAAAATTCCAACTACCGGGCTGTCTAAAAATTCCCTTCAGAGGTTTTAGTACATTCGCCCTAAAGGGATTCTTGTTATGGTAGGTAAGGTAACTTAAGTTCAAGGAAAGCAGGGCACTGAAATCAGTCTTGATTAACTGAAAGTTGCTGAGGAATTATGTGGGTTAAAGACGATATTCACGTTGTCCTAAGACTACTTTATAAAACCTGATACAACTAGGTACTAGAAATTACATACGTTACACAAATCATCATCGCCTGTCGGTTAACATATACCTAGGCACTTTGTTAAAAGCAGGTTGTTTTTTAGAAGAATCATTCTCAGAGCCTTTGGTCTTATTGGATATGAAGCGGTAGATGAGACCCCAAAATACATAGTTCTGTAGGTCTTCGGCTTTTGATGCTGGCCTCGTAAGTTCTGATGGACACACCCAGCTGAGGGCACCTCACCATGCATCTGCGTTGGGCCACGAGTTGGCACACCGTGATACACGTCTCCTACAACCATTAGTCAGCTTAGATTAAACGCTGCCCGATATCAGTCTTCAGTCTTCAGTGATAAGGATAGGAGGTCTATCGACCTATATTAATCCTTGCAGTTTGTAATACTGTGGAGGTCCAACCTCGTTTTGAATATATTAACAGACGGTGCTGATATAACGTGTCCCGGTAGAGAATTCCAGTAATTCACTACTCGATGCGAGAAACGGAACTCCAGACGTAAACGGTTTGATCTCGGTTTTTGAATTTTCTTCGAATGTCCTCTCAAATGATCGGTTCTAGACGGAAGCGAAAGATAAGACATGTTAATACCAAGGTCATCGTTCAGCATACGATAAGCCAATATTAGATCACCCCGTATTCTACGGTAAGATAACGGAAATAAGTTAAGGTGTCTCAGTCTGTCTTCATAAGATAGGCCAGATAGACCTTGTACCATCTTAGTAGTTCGTCGTTGGACTCTTTCTAGCATATTTGCTTCATACTTGAAACAATTACTCGCTGCTTGAATCCCGTATTCTAAATGTGGTCGCACATAAATCGGGTATAAGAATCTAAACATTTCATCATCTAAATACTGGAAAGACCTAGGAATAGACCATTATGCCCTATAGACTTTCGCAGCTGCAGCCTTACAGTAACTAGTGATTTTGAGATCACTGCCTGATATGACTCCTAAATTTTTATAGTTTCTTACTTTGGGTAGCACGAATCCACGTAGTGTATAGTCATACGACTCATCATAGTCATTTAATTGCATCACTACACTCTTATTAGGATTTACTTTTAGTGATCACCTGTCCAACCATGCCACTAATGAGCTAAGATCGTCCTGTAATACTATCCTATCCGACATGCTGTGTTTGAGTCTCCAAATCTTTATGTCATCAGCGAAGAGTAGGACGGATGATTTCGCTATGGTTGGTAATTCATTTACATAAAGTAAAAAGAGAAGAGGACCGAGGATTGTACCTTGGGGAACTCCACTTTTTACAGGTACCCACGGGGAGAGAACCCCATTTACCCTTACCCTTGTCTCCTGTCATTGAGAAAGTTACTTATCCAATCTACGGCTGTGTAATGGATCCCAAAACGTTCCAGTTTGAATTTAAGACCAGAGTGGGAAACCTTATCAAGGGCTTTACTTAGATCTATGAAAATCACATCCACAGGAGCATTCCGATCCTTTGCCGCAGCCCAATCTTCTCGTGCAATGGCAAGATTTGTCAAGCAAGATAGGCCTTTCCGAAAACCATGTTGTGACCTAGAGAAAAGATTTTGCCCTTCAACATAGTTTGTAACAGATATCCGAATGATTTTTTCCATCAGTTTTACAACTGCCCTAGTTAGGCTAACAGGCCTATAGTTACCAACTAAATCCCTACTCCCAGCCTTATACACCGGACTTATTATAGCGTCTTTCCAGTCTCTGGGCAGTCTGGACTGTCTTAGAGACATGTCAAACAGTATCGCTAATGGTTCAGCAATTACATCTGATATGGCTTTCATAATCCTGGGATGAATATCATCAGGACCACTGGACTTATCAGGTTTGAGATGCTGAAATAGCCTTAGAATAGTACCTTTCTCATTGACTACAGGGTTCATCAGCGAGCCGCCGAGATCACGATGAATCGCTGGTCATTCCTCGTTACTGATAGAAAACACTTTACTGAAATATTGCGATAAAGCTTCAGCTTTTTCGATATCATCTGCCAAGATTAACGGATTTTCTTATATCAAAAGTGATGGAGTTTCATCGCTTCTCTGAGTTCACCTTTTTATGTACGAGAATAACCGTTTTGAACTATATCTAGAATCCCTAACCAATTGTTTTTCGTATGATAGTCTAGTCTTAATTTTTAACGCTTTACAGGCATTCCTAATATTACAATAACTGGATCTGTATTGTTCTAAGCCAGTAGAGACGAACATATTCCAGTGCTTCTTCCTTTTTCTAAGGAGTTTCCTGACCGTTTTAGTTATCCATGGTGGACGGTTATTCGGTCTTCGCGGTACCAGGTATGATATGAACGAGGACGTAACTAGTCTAAATTTACCCTTAAATACAGACCATGCTTCTTCAACTGATATGCTAGTATCCACTAACCAGTCTGTCTTAGCAGCGCATTCCTGAATGGCTGATATGTTAGCTTTCCATACATTTGGGCGGGGTGTAACCTGATCGTATAACATGTCCCTAATTCCAAACATGAATGATAAAACAGCGTGATCGCTGTTCACTGACGGTGGAAGAATAATAAAGTCGACAATATCCTCAGTCACATGAGTGATTACCAAGTCCAACAGAGAAGAACCTTGGTTAGCACCAAAACGTGTGGGTTTGGATACATGCTGCACTAGTGCATGCTCCATCATTGTTATCAGGAACCTACTATCAAAGGAGTTTATAGATCCTTCTGTGGTCATCTCAGTCCAGCTAATATCAGGTGCATTAAAGTCTCTTATTATCAAGCATCCGTTATTTGCACTCCAAAGATGAATGTACTTTAAAATGAAGTCATCAGCTAGGCAGATTGGGCTGCGATAGATAACACCGCGCATAAATGTACCACATCCTATAGCCAACTTACAGCTAATACCGATAGCCTTTCAGATATGTCTTCGGACCTCTCTATTTCTGACTTCTAATACGACTAAGTTGGAGTACTTCGATTATAAAGGTTTATATGTAAAGGCGTCGTCAAATTCCGAATAACTGTGTGTGTTGAATGTGTGTCGCATCAAAAGGCGTGCAACCAAAAACATGGCAGATGGTAGATAGTCAGGAGATACCGTGCTATGGTAATAGGTGACCGAAATGGTTTGTTTCCTCAAGGTTATTGAGCCCAAGTGTATCGTTTATTTAGAATCCCCTCATTTTAGTATGCAGCGCCTTCGTAGCATGAAGGCAGTGAGAAAGGTTGACTAAGAAGAGGGTATAAATACGTGACCTCATAAGGGCATTTTGATGTAGGAAGCGAACACCCTCCATTTACTGAGGTACTCAAACATTCATGAGCTTACAGATCAATGGAGTGAGGAGTGATTCTTCCTAAAGTTAAGTCGATGAAATGCAAGGGAATTTATTGGTAACCGAAAACCAATAGGAAACCATATGTTTTGGTTTCAACCGGTCAATAGCGCGTATCCAAACTACCTAGACAGTCATTCTTCAATACAAAGCTTAGTTTGGATTCTGCACATTAGGCTGGCTTTCTCTGAAGGTTGAAGTAATTTAAAACCATTAAAAAAGATGCACCAAAAGAGGCAACACTTCCTGTCGATATAAAACTCAGTAGTTTATTTGAACTCATCATTCGACTTGTAGTTCTTTTGATAACTATATCTCCTCTCAAACGTATTGAAAAAATGCTGCTACGATTAGTACCATTTGAAAACGTTACTAGCTTATTTTCCGAAGCGAAAGCAAACATCTAGGTACAGAAGGTCAATTCTTATTTTTGAGCCTTTGGAAAATCTTCTATTTGGCTATGAGCTGTAGACGGAAGAGACAGACGAAATATTAGAAACGCGTTTGCAGTTCATTCTGCTACGCAAATATTGGGTCAGTACATAAACCAAAAGTGGGGACAAAGATATTTCGCACCAGAAAGCCAAGTCAACTTTCGCCCTACTAATCGGTTAGATCATATACTTTCTGTGTTCCATTATTGGTCTGACCAACAACTGAATTCGAAGTTACACCCCGCAGCCAGCACCTGACGTGGATTGCCTCTTTGTCGTATTAAGGTACTATGCCTGTTTTGCGGACCCTATAACCTAAAGAACGTTATTACTGAGATATTTTGGTAAGGATGGGTACAGAGGAGATGAGACCACAGCCGCATGGGCCAGTCCATGGCGTACGATTGACCAATACGCATTGGTTGTCCTTGACTTTGATGGGGATCTATGAACAATTCGACATTCAGGGACCCAACTGCTGGATGATTTGGCTAGGACTCAGTGATTTTTTACTGGAGCAACAGACGCATTAAGACCATGAGCCAATGGTGTTGAACATGCCTTTTGGGAACACGGAGATCG